TTCTCCAAGACCTTTGAAGTAGAGTGTGATGCATCCAATGTAGGCATAGTGGCCATGCTTCTTCAAGAAGGGCAGCCCATTGCCTATTTTAGTGAGAAATTAAAAGGGAGTCACATCAATTACTCCACCTATGACAAAGAACTTTATGCTCTTGTGAGAACTTTGCAAACTTGGCAACACTATCTTCTTTCAATGGAATTTGTGATTCATAGTGATCATGAGTCCCTAAAGTTTTTTTAAAAGCCAAAGCAAGTTGAACAATAGACATGCAAGGTGTGTTGAATACATAGAACAATTCCCATATGTGATCAAACATAAACAAGGAAAAATTAATGTGGTTGCGGATGCAATTTCAAGGCGCCATTCACTCTTAACCCTTTTAGAAACCAAATTTTTGAGCTTTGATCACATTAACGAATTGTATGCTAGTGATGATGATTTATCCCCCATTGTTAGTGAATGCCACCTAGGGTCTTACAAAGACTTATACCTCCTCAATCAATACCTTCTCAAAGGTAAGAGGCTTTGTATACCCAAGGGTTCCTTAAGAGCTTCACTCATTAAGGAGTCACATGAGGGAAGATTAATATTTTGGGGCCAACAAAACTTTGGAAGTCTTAAAAGAACATTTCTATTGGCCCCACATGAGAAAGCATGTAGACAAACATTGTAGAAGTTGCATAGCATGCATGAAGGCAAACTACAAGGTCCAACCTCATGGTCTCTATACCCCTTTGCCCATCCCTTCTAAACCATGGGTGGATATTTCAATGGATTTTGTGCTAGGGCTACCAAGGACAAAGAAGGGTAGGGATTCCATTCTTGTGGTTGTGGATAGATTTTCAAAAATGGCCCATTTCATTCCATGCCACAAGTTTGACGATGCTACTTACATTGCAAATCTCTTCTTTAAGGAAGTTGTGAGACTACATGGCCCACGTAGGACCATTGTGAATGATAAAGACACAAAGTTCTTGAGCCATTTTTGGAGGACACTTTGGGGGAAGCTTGGAACAAAGCTCCTATTTTCAACAGCTTGTCAACCCCAAAGTGATGGTCAAACCGAGGTGGTTAATAGAACCTTGAGTCAAATGTTGAGGTGCATGATAGTCCAAAATACTAGAGAGTGGGAGGAACTTCTCCCTCACATAAAGTTTGATTAAAATAGGGTTGTGCATTCTACTACCTCTCACTCCCCCTCTAAGGTTGTGTATGGATTCAATCCTCTCACTCCCATGGATCTTCTTCCCCTCCCCACCCATGAGGCATGGACTAGCCAAGATGGAGCCACTAAGGCTAACATGATTAGAGAGTTACATGAGCAAGTCAAAAGGAAATTTAAGAAAAGGGAGAGAAAGCATCAAAAGAGTGCTAACAAGGGAAGGAAGGAAGTCATCTTCAAAGAAGGGGAATGGGTTTGGCTTCATTTGAGGAAGGAAAGGTTCCATACTTGTTGACCTTGACTTAGGTTGACTTTTTTACTAGAGTTGACTTGACCCATGTAGACCCCTAATTTTGCCCGGCCTCTCAATAAAGGCTAAGGAGACTTCCTCAATAAAGGCCAAGAATACTTCCTATATGAAGATAAAGCTTCAATGGACGTCTATCGGCATCAATCGACATCCGAATAAAGAAAGGAAAGCTTCTCGGGGGTCCCAGAACACAAAAGCTGGCAAAAACAAGTTGAGTCAGCCGTCCCAAGGGTGAGACGACCATCCCAAACAGCCATTGTCAAGTGGGATGCCCGTCCCAAATGTGAGACGCCTGTCTCAGTGCTAGAATTTGAATGGGACGGCCGTCCCAAATCCCAGACGGCCGTCCCAACTTCTCCAGACGCTCATCCTTGATTTCCAAGCCCCGGACGATCGTCCCAAGCTGCCAGGCTGCAAAAACTATAAATAGGAGGCTCATTTGCCACTTTTTCACACCCCAGACAACTCCAAGTACTTGTCTTCTCTCCCTACTTCGAATGAACTCTCCGATTGCCTTAAAAAGGTAACAATCGGTTAAGGAATTATATTCCAGCATTCGATTCTTCTTTAAAATTTAGTCGAGTCGATACTGTATTCGGGGAGGAGAGTCTTTGTAGAGCGGGGGATTGCCAAAACGCATCCTCACTGTTAAAGATTTGCAATACAAAGCTTGCTACGAAGGTTCTTTTCAAATTCTCTTCTCTTTTATTGTCTTATTTATTGCTTTCTGTATGCAATGTAAAATAAAATCATGTAGATAGCCATTTTTAAATACTGTATAAATAAAATAGGGTAATAGCGTAATTTCTTGTAATCTTCACTTAATGAATGAATCCGTCATAAGGAACCCGAAAGGGGCGTTGTGGGGTGCTAACACCTTCCCCACACGTAACTAACTCCCTTACCCAACTCTGGTTATAATGGATAAGTTTGGTTTTTATTAAAATCAACGCCTTTTTAATCCTTTTCCAATGTTTACGGTCAAAACATTGGTGGTGACTCCATAAGAACACCTTTTCGAAAACCTTGCTTTTATTAGAGGATAGTTCAGTTGTTGAGCACCTCGGAAGCAATGAACATATTTTAACATAAAAACGCGAGTCTAAACCATCTTTTTGCGACCGCTCGCATAAACGTTCGAGATGTCCCTAGACGTCGGAACGGACGGCGGCGACAACCCAAGTCAACATTGCTAATATAGTTTTATTTGTGTGTCTTGTAGGTTAAGCATGGATTAAGAGGATGATTAGGACTCTCCACATGGCAAGCTAGGATTGGACCACATGTGCATGAGGTGGAAAACATAAAGCATAAAGCAAAAGCATAAAGAGAAAGGTGCTTTATGGTGGTGAATGAGACAAATGTGGTCTCCTCTTTAGTCTTAGCCAAGAATCACCATAGGAAGTCCAACATTCCATTTGTCTTTTCCTTGCTTTCATGTTAGGTTTGTAGAAGATACTTTTTAGGATTTGTAAATGTACCCTTTTAGAACTTGATGAAGGCATGACAAGAGGGTAGTCTTCTAGTTCTACCCTATCTTTATTTTCCATTAGCTTAAATTGAATTCCCTAAGTTGAATTGAGTAGAGTTAATTTTAGTTAACTTGTTGACCTTGACTTGGGTTGACTTTTTTACTAGAGTTGACTTGACCCAAGTCAACATTGCTAATCTATTTTCATTTGTGTGTCTTGTAGGTTAAGCATGGATTAAGAGGATGATTAGGACTTTCCACATGGCAAGATAGGATTGGACCACATGTGCATGAGGTGGAAAGCATAAAGCATAAAGAGAAAGGTGTTTTATGGTGGTGAATGAGACAAATGTGGTCTCCTCCTTAGTCTTAGCCAAGAATCACCATAGGAAGTCCAACATTCCATTTGTATTTTCCTTGCTTTCATGTTAGGTTTGTAGTAGATACTTTTTAGGGTTTGCAAATGTACTCTTTTAGAACTTTTGTTATTTGCTAAGAAGCCCCAAAGACTATCTATTTAAGGGGTGTTTTTTCTCCTTTGTAGGGGTTGAACATTTAAAATCAAAATACTCCTTTGTCCAACCATATTTTCGTGAGCATCTTCTCCCTAGGGTGGAGACTCCATGACCTTATCTTTTTCCTAAGCAAGTGGCAGTTTCACCATTTATCTCTTGACTTGGTGTGCCTACTATAGCCTTTGTCCAAAGAGTGGTGTGTTTCCTCACCATCACCATCTTCTATATCTTTCATTTTGTTGTTCTTTTTTTTTCTAATTTCACTCCTTGTTCACATGTTGTTTTTCTAATCAATATTAATTCCATTCACTCCTCTCTTGAACCGTTGGAAATGCACCTTCACATCTAGATAGCTTGCTATCTTAATGTCCAGTGGGAATTTTCCCTTGGTTTTCTTAAGTGAACCTACATCATTTGGTATCGAGAGCCATGGTTATCTTGAATATGGTGTTTTTCTTGTGCTAACTTTTGTTGTCTTGTGTTGTTACTCTTGGTGGACTCTCGGCCTTGGTTTGTTCAAACTTGGTCTTGCACATTTTTCCACTTCACTTCAAGGTTTAAGTATCTAGAACTCCATCTCCATATATTGGTGATCTTGTGAAGTTGTGAACATGATTTTTGTTGGTATTTTTCTTGGAAAACCAAGAGCTACTTGTAGTGTTACCATGTTAAAATTTAGTCTCTCATGTTGAAAGAGTCTTTAAATGTGTTTTCTTTGTTTTTTAGTCATATGCCATATGTTAACTAGTGGTTTTCTTGTTCTTGTTGTTCTAAAATATTTGAATCTTGTATGTTTACATGACTTATGGAGTGTATGTGCTCTAGAATTGATTTGTGACCAAAACTCAAGGAACTAAGTGTTCAAGACACCTTGAAACCCTTTTCTATCACCTTGGGAAACTTGTTTGCAAAAGAGAAAAAAAATTCCCCAAATTTCTAGCTAAAAACCGAGACCAAACTTGGAGCTTGGGGAAGTGAAATTGCATTTTTTCTAAGGTGTTATGCTCTCAAATTGAAACCTTGAATGTGGTGATATTGGCAAATTAGTTCCATAAAAACTATGTGGTTCTTGTCTTACTTGGCATGTGCATGATTTAAGTTGTTCAAAGGCATGATCAAATATTTTTCCATAGAGTCTTTTAAAGTGTTTTTCTTGTGTTAGTCTTGCTAAAGTTTTGTCTCAAAAACTTTACTTCTTAGAGTTTTGCTTTCTTGTTTTTGTTCTTTTCTTTCTTGTCTTAGGGTCCTTATTTTGTCCTTGCTAGTTTTCTTTTCTTTGGCCTTCTAGTTGGTGAAAACCGTGATCTAAGTTGCTTGGTGAGAAAAGGTTTTGAAAATTTTGGAGTGATTTCCACCCTTTGACAGGTGAGAGTGATAGCCTAGCCTTGTGTTGTTGGAAGTGTGCATCCAAACACTTGGGAAATTTCATTGTGGATGGGGATTGCCTCAGTTTTTAACTCATACTTGTGCTAACTCTTGTGTTTGTTTTCGGTTTGAGTAATATGAACCTAGGTGGGTAAAATTTTTCTCCTATCTTGGAAGAAATAAAGGAAGAACAGTCATGTGAAGCCTATTCACCTCCCACCATCACTCCTCTTGCACAACAAGGAGACCTTAGTTTGATTCAACTTATGCAACAACTAGAAGAGAGTAGAAGGGAGACCATTGCACAACTAAGGGAAGACAAAAGACAAAGTGAGATGATGCTAAGAGAACACATCCAAAGGTTTGAACTAAGGGAGGAAGATAGGAGGAGGAGGAGGTCATCTTCAAGAGACACTTATGAGGATTATGGAGGAAGGAGGAGGTGCCATTCCCCTCCAAGGAGACAACCACCACCAATCAAGATTCCAAAGTTCAAAGGAGAAGAAGATCCCAACATCTACTTGGAGTGGGAGCAAAAAGTGGACCAAATTTTTACCATTCATGTAATTAGGGAACAAGAGCAAACAGAATTCGTAGTCATAGAATTTGAGGATTATGCCATGACTTGGTGGCATAACTAATGTATGGACATTATAAACCAAGAGCCACCCACGACTTCTTGGATGGACTTGAAAATTTTAATACACGAACAATTTGTTCCCTCCTACTATAGGAGGGACACCCTTTTGAAGCTCCAAAGGCTTCAGCAAGGAACCATGAGTGTGAGTGAGTATGTAAAGATGATGGAGTCCTTGCCCCTTAAAGTGGAACTCCAAAATGAAAGTGACGAAGAAAAGGTAACTAGATTTGTGAGTGGCTTGAGAAGGGAAACTCAATATGTGGTAGAGTTGTATGAGCACTTCCAATTTAACAAAGTTTTACACTTGCCCTTAAAAGTTGAAAACCAATTGAAAAAGAAAAATGAGGCCAAGAGAAGTGCAACTTGCAACTTACAATGACTACCACTCTAATAGTTGGAAAGGGAAAGAAAGAAAGTTTGAAAAACCACCTTCCAAAACCTCTCAAGAAACTCCTAGGGTGAATTCGACTAAGGCTCCTGTTAAGTGGTAAAAAGTTGATGTAATTATACTTTGAATTGTTATGAAATCACTTAACTTATGTTAATTCTAATATATTTTTCCCCCAATGTAAGATGAATTTGAGAATACCTTGATACAAGAGTAATGAGCATAATTGTCAACATAATTGAAGCAAAATTGAAAGGAGGAAGAAGATTTTCAGCATGGAAGTCGCTCGAGCGAGATAGACTCTCACTTGAGCAAATATAAGTTATTCTTCTCTGGAAGTCAGTTGCTCAAGCGCTAGTAAATTTGCTTGAGCGAATATTAGTTATTCGTCTCTGGAGCTCACTCGCTCAAGCGAGCGATTTGTCGCTTGAGCGAAAATAGGGAACTTTTGCTTGAGCTAGTGTTGTCACTTGAGTGAAAGACACGAAGCCCAAAAGCCTAATTTCTCCTATAAAAAGATAAGACGAGTTTTGAGAAAGGGGAGGCATTTTTGGAGAGAAGAGGCGTGACTACTGCTAGGATTTCGTTCAATCTTCATCAATTATTCACATCTTCCACAATTGGAGCATTTTAATGGCCAACATGAGTGGCTAACTTCATTATCTTGGGATTTGGTGCACTTCCTTTGATCTCTTTTGTATCATGGTGATATTTTGAGACATTAATTTATGTTTTGATGTTGTTATTCTTATCTTTTGTGCTTTGGAATGATTTTTCCTTGATGTTTGGGATATGATTGGAAAATATAGCTTGAACCCTAGATCACAGTAAGAATATTTGTTATGTTAATTGTCAGGAATGGAATGAATGTATCAATTGCTTAACACCCTAAACATAATGATGGAAAATCTCTTAATTGTGTGAGGAATCAATATTTATTAGGTTTTCTTATGAATTTCATGTGTGAGGAATCAACATGGATGATTTGAGTAGGTGGCATCAACCTTTTTAAGTTAATTGACGTTCTTAATTGACATAGTCATTACAAAAGAGGAAAAAGGAAGGAAGTCAATCCTAAGTACCTTTAATTGATATTTTCTAAACAATTTACAGTTCTTTGTCATTTAACTTCAATTCAACTCTTTATGTCAAACCCATTCTGTTTTAATCCACTTAGTAAGCATATAATTAGGAATTTCCATTGAAATCATTCCTCGTGGGATCGACTTTTATTTAATCGAAATACAATACTACGATTGATAATTTTGGTACGCTTGCCAGTAATTCAACAAGTATTTCTTGCGCCGTTGTCGGGGAACGGCGTTCCTTAGGAATTCTTTGTTTAGCTTATTAAGTATTTTATTTTTATTTTTGTTTTATTTTTAGTTTTATTATGTTTAATTATTGTCTTGTGCTAATCTTTGCTTGAGTTACTCTTTGATTTATGCAATTAAGAGGACAGGTATCTTCCGAGCAGTTAGAATTTAATCCAGAGATTGAAAAAACTGCTCGTCGAAACTATGGTAGAAGAAGAAGGGAAAATCAAGAACAAGCCACAGGAGAATTAGTTAACTCTTCTTCCACACTCAATTTACCAGACCCAATTATAGAAGACATGGCAGAAGACGGAGAAAATATAAATCCAAATCAAAATCCAAATCCAAATCCACCTAGAAGAACACTCAGAAACTATGTTATGCAGCAAGGTCCGAGATACTTCTCCAGCATTGCAATACCAGCCAACCAAACATTAGAGATGAAGCCAACTTTCTTAAGCTTGATTAGTGCTCATCAATTCACTGGATTGGAACACGAAGATCCATACATTCACTTGTCTACTTTTTATGAATTGATTGGTACCATGGGATTTAGACAAACAGATATTGAATCTGCATACCTAAGATTATTTCCTTTTTCTTTGGCTGGCAGGGCAAAGGAGTGGCTGAATGCACATCCTAATCAGAGTTTGACTAACTGGAGTAATGTAGAAGAAAAGTTTCAGAACAGATTTTTTCCACCATCCCACTACATCAAAGCAAAATCTGACATCACTTCTTTCAGACAAGGAGCAGATGAACCTTTTTGTGAAGCATGGGAGAAATTTAAATCATTGTTGAGAAGACGCCCAAATCATGGATTTGACGACATTGCTCAGCTGAATATTTTCTATACTAGTTTGCGACTTGATACAAAGATGCTATTAGAGGCTGCAACAGGAGGATCCATGTTGGATGTAGAAATCGAACATGCCATAAGAATTATTGATGCACTAGCTTCTACAGACCAACAGGCCCAACATGGTAGACCTCCAGGTCAGAGGAAAGGAGTACTTGAACTGAGCACCTCATATGCTCTCTTAGCCCAAAATAAACTTATAACCCAACAGATTGAAGCATTGAACCAGAAAATAGAGAAACTACCTCAACAAATGCATACAATATAATCCATTCCTAACCAACATATGAGTTGTGACGTGTGTGGAGGTGATAATCCGAATGGACATTGCTCTTATCAAGGCAACCTACAACAAGAAGAAGCTAATTATATGGGTGCTCAAGGTAACAATAGTCAAGGAGACAAGGTAATTTCCCTAGTTCCAATAACTATCAGAATAATTTTTCACAAGGATGGAGAGGAAATCAAAATCAAAATCAAAATCAAAATCAGAACTTTTGGTGGAAACAAGGTGCTGGGCCATCTAATCAGCAACTCTCAAACTAGCAATAGTCATATCAACAACCTCCATATCAACATCAACAACATTATCCTTCAGTTCATGACAGAATGAGCAAATTGGAGGACACTTTAGAAAAATTCATGCAAGCTACGTTGTCTAGTCATAAAAATACTGGGGCTTCATATAGAAATTTAGAGACCCAGGTGGGCCAATTGGCTAAACAACTATCAGAGCAGCAACAAGGAGGATAATTTTCAACTAACACACAAACCGACCCCAGGGAGCAATGCAATTCAATAACTACAAGAAGTGAAAAATTTGTAGGTAAGGGGATTAGTGACAATATAGTTGTTAAAGAAAAAGTTTTGGTAAAAGAAGATGAAGAGCAAGAAGAGGAGACTAATAAAGAAATATGTATTCCTAATAAGAAGAACGAAGAGGGAGAGAAAAAACAAAAGATAGAAAAAGGAGGGAGTCAAAAACCAATTGTAGAGAAGTTACCATATCCCAAGGTTCCCTCACAGATAGACAAAGAAAGACAATTCACCAGGTTTATGGATATATTTAAAAGATTGCAAATCAATATACCCTTTGTGGAAGCTATTGAGCAAATGCCAACATATGCCAAATTCATGAAAGAGCTCTTAATTAAGAAAAGAAGATTTACTGATGAAACAGTAGAATTAGAGGCAGGGTGTAGTGCTATATTCCAGAAATCATTACCTCAAAAGTCCATGGACCCTAGAAGCTTCACTATACCAGTCACAATTGGTACATTACTAGTGAAAAAAGAATTACTTGATTTAGGGGCCAGCATAAACCTCATGCCATTGTCTATGCTCAAAAGAATAGGAGACTTGGATGTTAGACCAACTAGAATGACTCTGCAACTGGCTGACAGATCTATAAATATTCTTTATGGAGTAGCAGAAGATATTTTAGTTAGAGTGGATAAATTCATATTTCTTATTGATTTTGTGATTATGGACATGGAGGAAAATGTGGAAGTCCCATTGATCCTGGGAAGGTCATTTATGAAGACTACCAAAGTAATTATAGATGTTGACAAGGGCGAGTTGAAAATTAGAAGTGGAGATGATGAAGTTAATTTTAATTTGTTTGAAGATGTACAACAATCAGAAGACAAGAAAGATTGCCTTAGAATAAATACTTTGGAGGAATTACTCATCTCAACTGAAAAACTAAATTACAAGCCTGTTGCACAACTCCAAAGACACTCAATCTGACTATGAAGGAAGTTGTTCAAAAAGAGGTACTGAAACCTCCTGAAGCATGTATGATTTACCCAATCTCTGACAGTCGTAAGGTGAATCCTACGATGATAGTTATTCGCAATGGAAAGAATAAATTCATTCCCACAAGGACAGTCAAGGGATGGAGAATGCGTATAGATCAAATTGATCACTCACTTGCATGAGCCCTAAAACAAATAGGCGTCGAGCTGAAGACGTTAAACAAGCGCTCCTGGGAGGCAACCTAGTGTTTTGAAATTGTTTTTTTCTTGCAGTTTAAGTTTTTTGTGCATTTTTCTTCCTTAGGTTCTTTCTTTGCAAGATTGCTCCAAGTACACAGTGAACTTCTCCTCAAGACTTTGAAGCCTTACTTCAATGGCCTTGAGACAGTCCAACTTTTCCGAGAGGGGGGTGAGAAAGTCTGCAGCTGAGGATGAGGCACAAGAAGAAGAAGGAGAATCAGCAAGTGAAGAAGAATAAAAGGGAGGCAACAATTTAATTTAAGTTTAATTTCTTTTGTGTTATTTGTTTT